TCTAAAAAATAGACGGTGTAAATAATATATTGTAAGATGCACTATTTCTGAGACTTGAAATCATTTTATTTTTTATAGTCATATATCTCGATATCGAGATGATCACTCAAAGAGTTTTTCAACGTTAAAACTGTCTTTTCCGACGGATTTTTGAGGGGCGTCTAAAGTTCTACGTTATAAGGTAGCATCCTTATAAAAACTTTTTCCAAAATAAACATTCTCATTGTATACCTTTTCATATACGTTTCAATGTTGCTTATTATGCCAAATAAAATTTTCCATGTATAATTAGTTGTCTAATTTTATTACTTAGGCTTTAAATAATGGTCTCCTGGTGGATCCGCATGACGACATGGCCATTGCCGACGCCTTACTGAAGCTCGTCGCAGATAAGGCCCTCTGGACTGAGTGCCGGAAAAATGGTAGGAAGAACATACACCGCTTCTCGTGGCCTGAACACTGCAAAAACTACCTCTCGCATGCTGCCCACTGCTGCAACCGCCGCCCGTCGTGGCGTCCAGCACCACATGCCACCGGCCGCCCTGCATTGCCAGAAAATGAGCCCCTGACCGACTCTCTGCGAGACATCCTTGACCTCTCAATCCGCTTCTCTGTGGACGTAAAACTCAACTGTGGCACCGATTCTGTTAGACTCAGCGGTGATCCTACTGCCGCCAATCCACAACAACTCTTGGATGCCATGTATAAGGCTGCTGGTACCACTGAATCACTTCTGTATAATGGCGGAAATGCCTTTCAGAGGGGCTCTGTTCCGAGAAGCCTGACAATTGTTAACAGCAGGTGGAACCTCAACGATCGGAAAAGGCACTTCGTGATTGCCGTCGACTGTTTTGATGAATTCGGCAAATTCACCAAAAATCTGTCTGATATCATCCAGAATGTGATGGCTGCTGCCGGTAGTGATGACAGAGGCCGGACGGGGTTCTTGTTCTCTACTGGCTGCAGCTTGGGGGAGGTGATCGAAGCGCTGAGATCATGCCACGTGGAGCCCGGGGAATTCGACGGTCTTATTTGTGGGAGCGGCAGCGTCGTGTGCTACCCCTGGAAGGGGATCGGTGATGACATGGAGTATGGGGCCCATGTCGGGTACAGGTGGCCAGGAGAGAATGCCAGGACGGCCGTTGAGAGGCTAGCTGCCGTGGAAGGCGATGATGTGGCCGATGACGTGGAGGCGTGTGGGTCCCACTGCTATGCTTATGCTGTCAAGGATGGTGGAAAGGTTAGGATTTTTTTCTCTTCTTTGCGGCAGGGGGACTGGGAAGGGCGAAGATGGACCTGTACCTGACTCGGACCCAGCTTTTGGATTTGACTTGGGTTTGGGTTTGGGTTTGGGTATGGATCCGATAGGTTGGGCTCGAGGTTCAAATTTTGGACCTAAACGCTATTCATGTCCGGGTCCGGATTCAGGTTTGGGTGACTCACCTTCCACAAGCCTACTCCTATAAAAAAACCATTATGAGTTTGATCTAACCGTTCTTTCTTTGTTTTCAAACATATCTTTACCGTTCATTAAGTGTTTTAGACGCATGTTAACCATGGCAACAAAGGCCACCTTTTTTCTCAAGCGATGCATAACCAAGTCTTTCAAAACTCGCATCGGTGGGGGGATGGTTCACCAACATATTCGTGTCGAATTGCCGGAATGACAATTTGGATCAGATTGAACTAGTGATCCAGAAAAATGAAAAATAAATAAATGAAATGAATTAAAAATCAAAATAACGTCACCTTCTGTTGGAGAATGTTATAGCTCTTTTTTTCTCTCTCATCCTATTGTTAGATTTTTTTTTATCTAGGAATAAATGGTCTAATTATATTTTTTATTTTTATAACATGGTGGTTTTAAGATAAATTTAGGAATATTAATTTAAAGATAGGGTTCACACAATGAGGCCATTTGAAATCTCTCTCTACTAACAATCTCTCCTACAAAATTTATTCTAGAAACCTAAAATTTTATATTTTAAAAAAATTAAAGTGTTATTTCGAAAGTTGATATGCATTCTAATAATCTATATATTGATAACCAAATCTTATATTTTATTTATTAATTTATTTGCATCATAATTTATGTAATATACTATTTTTTCTTACAGTTGTCAATAATATATTTTAAATTAGATGATATTATAAGATATTTTGAACTTGTTATTATTTTTATAGTAAAATAAGTATAAAATGTAAACCAACAATTCTATTTTTAGTATATAATATTATAGTTAGTTAGGTTGTAATAAATTTGGATTATAGTTAGTTAGGTTGTAATAATTTGGGTTTTTTTAGCGGATCAGGGTTTTCTGCCAATTCGAGATTTTGGTGGCCATTTTTTATCGATTTAATCCATTCTTTATTGTAGTCCATGTATGATTATATACGTCATCCATGATAATTCTATGATTTTTCTTTTTTTGTGATGTAACTTTAAGGGTTAAAACAGTTCATACACGGAAAAAACATCTCAATAATTGCATATTGATAGAAAAAAATGAAAGTTAATAATGTAGTACCCCATTTTTTATTTGATTCCTAAAAAATAACATTTATAATGATTTTTAATAATTTTTTTGGATTTTTTTTATTGTTGAATCTAACCGATTCCCGATCAGAACCATAGATTCATGGATCCGAATGGGCTTTTGGGGTGCCTGATCTGGGGCACCGATCCATTTTTTAAACCACTGATTTAGACTACCACAATCATAGATTTTAAAAAAACAGAAAACCAAAAAAAAAAGGATTTGTGAGCCTAAAAACTGGTCGTCTTTTGAAGAACAATTTTTTTCAGGACAGTTCATTTAAATTCTTAGAACTCCAATTTGTTTGATATGATGATGTAGAAGATTTGCAACTCCAATTTGTTTGATATGATGATGAAGAAGATTTGCAGTGATCAAGATGTATTTCAGGTCCCAAACCCTCTAAAACCAAGGCGGAAAGCATGGGTCGTCCAAATCACCAAATAATTTTCCTTGATCAAGTTCATTGTTTTAAGATCTAACAATTTCTATTTTGGATCACTGATCCGGATGGGACTCGGTCTGGCAAGGTTAGGGATGGCCTGGTTCCCTCCTTAAACCCCACCTTATTAGGGTTTTTTCTTTTCTTTTCTTTTTTTTCTTTTTTTTTGTTTGTTTTTTGTTTTTTAAGCTTATCTAGTATATTTTAAGTCCCCCTTGATCCCCACCTCATAAATATCTCTATTTTTATATTGTTTTATTTATTTTTAATATTTTTTAGATCACCGATTTAAATCAATTCTGATTTGTGGGTGAACGATCCAAACACTCATTAAGTTCACTAAAAAGTGATCTTCATTAAATTTATTGACAAGTAGCGTTGTATTACAAAATAGGTCCCAAGAGTTGATGATCTACGCCAAAGGCTACGAATGCGTGCCTTACGATGCAATTTAGTTTACACCCGCGCTGGAACACGCTTGAATGTGGTCCCCTTATTTGCCTCTCGAGACATGGCCCTAAGGTGAGTTCTCTTCTGCCTCCTCTATTTTAATTGATCATTTACATAATACATTTTAAATGTATATATATATTTAAATGTATGTGAATGTGTCTGAGAGATAGAAGAAAGAGAGAAGGGGTGTGTGTGAGAGAGGATGTGTTTGTTTGATAGAGAGTGAATGAGTTTGTGGGAGAGAGAAATAGTGAATGAATGAGAGAATGAATGTGGGCCTGACCGAGATGCAGTCAATATGTGTGTGAGAGAGAGAGATGCAGTGTGTAAGAGATGCAATCAAATGTGTGTGTGTGTGAGAGAGAGAGAATGCATGTGTATCCCTGAAAGAAAGGGAGAGTGAAAGAGAGGGAGAGTCAATGAGTGTATGTTTTTTTTTTTTGGGTGTGGGTAAAGTGTGTTTTTTGTTTTTTTTGGGTGTGGGGTAAAAGTGTGTGTTTGTATCTGTGGAATAGAGTTAGAACGTGTGTAGCAATCTAAGATGAACAACGTCCATGGTACTAAAGGTACGACACTTAATGTAACACTTCATAAATTGTTGACATTTTTCTTACTATTCATGTTTGAAATGTCACTATAAAAGTATTTAATGTCATTTAAAGTTCTACCTAGCCTCTCTTTTTATAAATATTGTTTTTTTAACGATAGCTATAGTTAATTTTAATTTACTTCAAATAGTTGAGATAAACCTCGAATGATGATAATAATAATCAATTTTTATTTTTCACCATTTGGATTAATACAGGTATTTATCAATTCGTTGGGGCATGGACCTCTCAAAAACAGTGGTCTTTGTTGGTGAGAAGGGCGACACAGACTACGAAAGCCTCCTCCCTGGATTACACAAGACCATCATTCTCAAAGATGCTGTGGAGCATGGGAGTGAGAAGCTAGTGAGAGGAAGTGGGAGTTATCAAAGAGAGGATGTTGTCCCTTGTGAAAGCCCTAACATTGTATCAACTGAGCTTGGGTATGCTACCCATGACATCTCCATTGCCTTGGACAAGGTTGGGCACATGTGACTCAAATGATGCAAGGAGAAGGCTGATGCTCTTGTCAGTGGAAATCTCTCTCTCTCTATATATATATATATAAGTTCAGGATCTAGTGAGAACATAACTCTAGACATCAGGTTGTGGCACTTGCCACCCTGACCACCCCTTTTAGAGTTTCACCTGTCTCTATAAATTTTCGTATTTTACAGTAAAATTGGATGATACTATCTTTCTTTGGCTCCTGCCATGTAAAAAGTTTTGCTATAGCATCCCCAATGTTATGTCTGCCTATCATCATCATTATCATCTAAGCTTTATCCCAACTATTTGAGATTCGCTATATGAATTATGTTCCACCATTTGACTCATAGGTCTAGGATTCATGATAAAATTTGACAAATATTTTATGTTGACTAGCCTACCTAACACAATGATCCATGTTCATCCTATAATAAAAGGTAATGGCCAATGGTTCAAAGTTGTTATGGTTTAACCTTACTAGTTCCTTCTAGGGATTTTTAGGTACATACCAAGTAAAATTATCGAACTTACCCTTTGGTTCATAAGTTGGTAATTTTATCGTAAGGTCTTACTAGCAAATTTTCTCTTAATTTGATGTTACAAATGTCGAATTGCTTATTTTATTTTTTTTCATTTCTTTTATTTTTTTGAGAGGGAGAGAGAGAATTTTGAATTTGGGCGTAACGTTATTTACCTCAATCAAAATTTTAAAGTTAAACGTGCTTGGCAAGAATAGTAGTAGGATTAGTAGGGCTGGAAATAGGTCAAGGCGACCCAACCCATGTCCATGCGTGGACCCAAATTCTAGACCCAATGAATCGAGTCGGGCTCACTTGTTTTTCTGGGACATGATAAGACATACCCACTGAACAAATCCGAGGTGTCTTACTAACTTTTGTAAGGGCAATTTATAGAAATGCCTATGACCAATGGTCAACTTGAACAACGGAAAATGTTTGGATAGGGTTGCAACCCTATCAAAATAAGTACAATCCCATCTCAAAACTCATGGAAAATTGCAATTTTGATGTTAGAAAACCTTCAAATCGATAATTTCGACCTTGAACATTATGATTATGAAAAAAATTAGAATTTCAAGCCTAAAAAAATAGTGTATATTGCAATTTTGAAGTATTCATGGGTCCACAAGATTTGTACCATCTTTTGAGGTACAAATTTATGAAAGAAAGAACTATGTGATCTTTTACTGGGGAAATTTTTTTTTTTTTTTCTTCACCCCTTTCTTTTGGCAAAAGATCACTTACATGTAGTCTTTTATAATAAGATAAATTTCAAAATAAAATCAGCATAACAATAAAACCAATATCTTAACAACTTGATCTTATTGAAACAACTATGCACTATGCTTGAGAATAAAAAATAAGATTTCAATAAACAAAATGAAGAGTGCTGGAGATTACCTCAACCAGGCGTATTATACCCCACACAGAGTCACCACCATCTGATGGCGCGGAATCAACGGTCTAGCTTCAATCTCGAACCGAGGAAACAAATTTCGGCCAAGCCACACCAATGGAACATGAACCCCTTTGGTCACAAACTCAAACCCTAAGTGATTTCTCTTAGCAACTAGTTTGAGAGAGATGGATTCTCTTTTTGCTAAACCCTTAGCCATAAATCCATATTTGAGAGATATGAGAGAATAACTCCATAACCTAAACCTTTATTCTTTCACAATGAATGAGAGAGAGATCAAACACGAGAGAGATAAACTTTCTTAAGAGAGAGAGATAGAAAGATCAAGTGTAGAGATTTTTTGGTAGAGACAATCCATTTTTATAGGCTTTGAATAAGATTAGGGTTTTTTAGGGTTTTCTTTGGCTTGCCTCTTATTGTGAGATTGAACATAGACCGTCGATCAAGGGTGACTTGTGGGGTGAGAGATCTAAGTCATCTATTTCATAAATAGGCCATCAACATTATGGAAGTTGCATGAATCATTATCCTTATTTCCTAAACCATTTTTTCATTAATAGAAATTAAATAAATTAAATCTAATCAAAATATTGTGCATACCATAAAATAGCACAAATCTACTCGATCTTTCCATAAAATCTTTCAAAGATATATCAAGTCAATATTTAGTCAATATCTTGGCCACATGCCATATCACCAAAAAATAGGAAAGAGAATAAGGGTGGGGCATCCCACCCAAGGGAGGAACTCATAGGCCATACCTTTTAAAAATATGGCGGGCCCATGTGTACAATGGGCCCCCATGATATTTTTATATATTTAAAACTAATAAAAATATTTTAGAATATTATTTGAATATTTAAACAATTGTAAAATCAATATCTTTAATTTTATAAATCCAAAAATTATAAATAAAATATCTAAGGGTTCATAAAAATTCAAATAATAATATTAAAATAATTTTCATCATAAAAAAAACATAATGAAATTAATTTGATGGGAAAATGATCCATATGATTTAGGAATCAACAATCATGGGGCACCCCACCTTCAACTGTGGACTACAGACCACACTTGCTTTATCAGACTGACTTAGTATTTCCCATAACCCACAGTCCAAGTAAGGGCTCATTAGTGGGTCACCAAAGTTCGACCGATGAGCCAAGGGATTGTAATTTCAGTATGTGGATTTCAGGTCCTCCCCTAGAGACGAATCAATGTCACCTAGACCTGATGCGACCATAGCTCCTATGGTGCATAGGGGTATCTCTCGCACATGCATATGCTTCACCCTAAAAGGTGAATTTTTGGCTTTTTCAAATGATTTATCGATATACATGTCGTGTGATGGCACATGGATGAGGCTTTGACCCCCGTCTCTATAGGCCACCATCACACACAAGGGTCACACAGTCCATCGGCTCACTTATTCGAGCATATTCTCCGACCTCATCAAGGGCTAACCCATTAAAACCTACTCGGTTTGTTTTTTATGTCCAGGTAACATGAGTTTTTTTCAACAGACTGACCTAGATCGTTAAGCACAGTCCGGTATCTGCAAACATCATTTGCTTAGTATGGCCCACGAGGGACCACACTCCCACTGAGTTCATGTTCCACTCTATCAGTTCATTTTACAAGCACTCATAAGGCTTTTAAAGGCTACATAAATCCAACATCTCCCACTTGGCCTTTGAAGGCCTTACATTATCTCTTTCTCACTTCTCTTATTCTCATCTCTCTCTTCCAATTACAATCTCTCTCAAGCATTTTGGTTTATTCTCTCAATACATTAATTATGGCTGTCGCCATCAATCTTTTCACAAAAGGATTTATAAAGGCAATACATTTTTCTCTTTGTTGCTCGGATCTCATCCCAAAAATGGTCGTAGCTCATCTTTTATATCACATCACGAATCATGGACCTGTTGTTGCAAAAGACTATCACGTACCCTCATCGTATGCGGTCGTATGTTCATGAGCTCAAATGAGTTATTCAAATAAGCTGCTCCCTTTTGTAGCCATACAATCGGTACCAAACATTTTGGTTCTATGGGTGAACAACATTATAGTTTGTTGTTCCAATTGGCATGCCAAATTCTAGCAGGTGCTTCCATTGGAATATTTAGTTTATCTGAACCTCGATCTTTCTCAATCTCACCTCATTCATCAGGTGATAAAAACATGGTTTTATATGCTTGGAGTTCTTATGGAATCGTGGCTCCTTTGATACACATATCGTCACCGTGCTGTCGCAGAAAATTCTTACTGCCTCACAACGCACGAGGTGAAAGTCAAGTCGATTAAGAAATTTCTTAATCCATACAATCTCCTCGATCACCAAACAGCACGCCACGTACTCTGCCTTTATGGTGGACAATTTCGTCACATTCTGTTTATTTGATTTTCAAGGAATTGCACCCCCTCCAATCCACACATATCCAGATGTAGACTTCGCTTCGCATCATCTGGATCTGTGAAATAGCTTGCACCTGTATATCTAAATATCCAAACATCTAAAAAAACGTGGGACTGCGGCAGCTCCCACTCAATTATTGCACATACAACATATACATTCTCAACATTCTTATGCATATATCATGAGGTAGCATATCAAGTCTCACGCAATAAGTAATTCAATACCCATTGGTTTTACAATATGCAAAAATCTTCATAAACCACAAAGGTTCAACCACTCTAGACATCTTGGAAGTAAATTCATACAAACTAAGTTATCTAATCAACACAATATGTGTTAGGAAAGCCCAGCATAATGGCATTCCTACAACATTCACTATGGTTTAAAGTTTTAGGTAATCGAAGATCCTAAATAACTAGAAACATGGGTTAGAGCATATAGGTATTTAAAAAAAAAAACAGTGCATGATAGTTTTTCTCCCACATTT